ATCTGTCTTTGTCTCTCTGCATGCAGCTCTCTCTCTCTCTCTCTATATATATATATATATATATGTCTATATATATATATATGTATATATATATTATATATATATATATATGTTGTTTTGTTTGTTTCGTTAGAAGTGAACACCAAAATAATTTAATTTTGCGGTTATGCTGCACATCTTTTTTTTAAGAAAAGCTGCAGCAAGGATAATCCCTGCTAGGCGTAGATAATACAAAATGTTTTTAGATGGATGCGTCTGTATTATGCATTTATATAGACCCTCATTAATAATTAATATAGATTGCATTAACTATATTTACAAGCCCTACTACCACAGAAAAAAACTCTTAAAGCATTATAATAACAATGCATGCAGCAAACCCCTTTATATATATATATATATATATATATATATTTAGGGCTGCCTGTCTGTACAGCCGAAAATAGACAAGGAGAAAGGCTTGCTGCTAAATATATACAATGCATTATTTAATTATATGAATTCTTTATAAACACATAAATACAAATACAAATACGCAATAAATAGATTCTACATATATTATATATAAATTATATATAATATATATGCATGTGTATCTAAATATACATATATACATATACATGTATATATATATATATATATATAAATGATAGACGCTGCATGCAAACAGCACATGCTTATTATGAAGCTTCTACTACTGGTGCTTATCGAGCAATGAAGGCAGATAAGCCGATAGCATAAATAACATTAATAAATATATACCCATATAAAATAAACAAATAAAAGCATTTACTTTTTTATTTATTTTTTCATATACGTATATATTTATATACAAACTACTATTAATAAAACATTAGAGAGGCTGCTACATTATTATATAGAGATGAACAGAAATAATTTTTATTTTATTTTCAGGTGTATGTATGTACACCTCGTACCTGATGTAGACGTCTTCACCTAAATAAAACGAGGATCTCGTATAAAAATATACATAAAAAATATGTATATATAAATAAATTAATACAAATAAATACATAAAAATATAAATATTAATAAATATAAATAAATATATATAAATATAAATATAAATACATAAATATATATATATATATATGCCTCTATTGCATATACCCATGTGTAGATACTTCAGGTGTATAGGCAGCTTCGCCTCTGCCGTCTGCATGCAGCGCATCCAGCAGTTTATTAATTTATTTATTTATTTTTGTTTTTTTTTCTCTCTTTTTTTATTTTATTATAGTTGAGAACAGCGAAGAGCAGGCCGAAGCGAAGACAAAGTAGGAGAGGCTAGCAGCAGCTGCAGCAGCAGCAGAAAACAACAAACGCATGCAAAATATATTAAATATTAAATATATATATTATATTATAATATATATATGTATATAATGGGTGTATTATATTATATTATATTAAATCATACACTTTATTAAATAGATTACATAATATACACAGTATATAATGCGTGCAGCATATAATAATACATTATATATCGTATATAATTGTATTAATATATATATATATACATAGTGCATAATATATATTATACAATATACAAAGTATGAGGCACTGTATATTATCTACAACATATATACATGCATATATATATATACTGTGCTGCTGTTGCTTCTACTCCCTGTGGTGCTGGAGTTGCTGCTGCTGCTGCTGCTGTTGCAGTTGCTGCTGCTGCTGCTGCTGCAGGTCTGACTCACCCTAAGAGTGTCTTTATGAGCGAGGCTAAGAGAGAAGACGCAAAGCAACAGGCCGGGAGCTTCGACTTCCAGGTGATGCCCCAGCACTTCATCAGCGTGCTGCACCAGCAGCAAATGCTGCTGCTGCTGCTGCTGCTGCTGCTGCTGCTGATGTTGATGCTGATGATTATGAGGGGCAATCAATCCTATTTCTTGCAGCAGCAGCTGCACTTCTTCGGGCGTTAGCTGGCTGCTGAAAGAAAACCACCTTTGGCGCAGTCTGCATGCAAACAAATACAAAAAATCAGAGCTGCATGTACACCCCAAGCAGCTGCAAAACAACAAAAGCGATGGCTGTCTATTTATTGCGTTTATTTATTATTTATTGTTATTATTATTATTATCATTTGTATAATATATATATATATATATACATTTATATTTTATATTTGTATGTAGGCTATATCTATGTAAATGTTACAATAATAAATATTATTATAATAATATTATTTATATATTTATAATAATAATATTTATATTTGCTGCTCTGCTGCTGCTGTACGCACCCGTCAATTAGCTGCAGCAATCTGAGGGCTGGGGGCGTTCTATTATTATCCTTTTTATTATCTTTATCTTTTTTATCTTTATTATCTTTATTATCTTTATTATCTTTATTATCTTTGTCTTTTTGTTTCAAGTCTAACGCCTTCTCGACGAGCCACGAGCGCCCTGAGCATTGAACCTTCTCCAGGTGTATAGACAGCTGATCCCCCCACCCACCTTCTTGCTGCTGCTGCTGCTGCTGCTGCTGCTGCTGTTGCTGTTGCTGCTGTGGCATGTGTGCTAGAGCCAAGGCTGCTTGAAGGAAGCTGAGACGCTCGCTGCTGCTCCAGAAGAAGGGTCGAGTGCAGCAGCGTTGCCAGTATGCTGCTGCTGCTGCTGATGCTGCTGATGCTGCTGCTGCAGGTTCTGCTGCTGCTGCTGCTGCTGCTGCATCAGATTCGTTGCAGCGCCACAGGGCTCTAAACAAATCAGCAACAAGCGGCAACTCTTCACCTAAACGAGCGTTTGTTGCTGCTCCTCTAGTCAGCAGCAGCGAGACCACCTCCTCCAGCACAGCACCCAACATGCTGCTGCTGCTGCTGCTGCTGCTGCTGCTGCTGCTGCTGCTTGTGCCTGGCAGCAGCGCAGCACGAAGAATCCTAGGTGAAGCAACATCTATGCAGACAGACAGCTTTTTGTCTTTGTTTAAAAATATAATTATCTCTTCGGGTTTGATGGTGAACACAAACTCTCTCTTCTTTTGCATGCACTCTTCGCCTGCTGCTCCTGCTGCTGCTGCTGCTGCTGCATGCAGGTGCTGCAGCAGCCCGTAGGCCTCCAGCACACTTTCACACACCTTCAGGATCAGCTGCCGCAAACAATCTGAAGGGACGATTGTCTCCTGCTGCTGCTGCTGCTGCTGCTTCTGCTTCTGCCTCTGCTTTGGCTTCTGCTGCTGCTGCTGCTGCTGCTGCTGCTGCTCTTTGCAGCTCGCTAGCGGCCACAGCGCAGCACAAGGACAAGAAGTGCTTCCTTCAGACAGCAGCAGCTCTCTGCAGCTGCTGTGCAGTTCATGGAAGCAGCCTGCTGCTGCTGCTGCTG